CAGGTGGCGTGCCACTAAAAACTCTCACCAGATTCCCACGCTTAAACCCCTCACTCCCTCATCAGATCCTAGGATCCCCAGCAGATGTATACATTTTCCTAAATATCATCTTCTCATTAGTTTTGCCTGCGAACGTAAGAATATATAAGTGAGATGTAGAGACTTTTAAAGGTCAACATGGGTCTCAATCAATTTCAAGGTGGTGGGTGGACAAAAAGCCATCCATGTTTTGCTCTCTACCAACATCCTTTCGCTCTCCCCATGTTCGTCTTTGATACCCCCTCATGCACATGTTGACAGTATTATTATATCTTACTACATAGTTTTATGGTAAAATTGCACCTGAACGTCCTATAGCTTCATCGATCTTGCATTTAATTGGTTTTTTTTATTTCAAAACCGAATAGATAAATGCCCTAAAATATTTAAACATTACAAATAAATGCCCCAAATTAAGTTTTAAAATGTTGTATTTTGGTGCCCTCTTGTTTACCCAATGTTGCATATAAAAAACACTCTGTAAATGGTTGCACTTGAGTACCCTAGAATTTCTAAAAGTTGCAATTTAGTACCCTCTATTTTGTAGTGTTCTTAGATATATAGAGATATTGGATTCCTTTTAACTTCAAAGGATTTATCTGTAATGTTTAAATACTTTTGTACATTTATTTGCTCAGTTTTAAAATAAAAAGTCATTTCAGTACAATATTAGTGCAACTATAGGACATTTAAATGCAATTTAGCCTTATATTATCTTATGTTTAGTGTGTACCTGATAGAAAGCATTGACATTTTCCCAATCAACAAGGACTCTAGAATGATGACTTTGCCTTTACAACTTTAGTGAGTAGTTTTTGCAAATTTACAGAACAAACAGAACACAAGTTTAAAATTCCGGATTTAGTGAATAGTTTTTGCAAATTTACAGAACAAACAGAGCACAAGTTTAAAATTCTGAATTTAGTGAGGAATTTGGTGTTTATATCATTTATCCAAGCTGTTAATGTCTTTTAGCAATAATTTCAAATAGTTAATGATATTTTTTCGTAATATTAAAAATTTTGATGATGGTTCTGTCTAATAAAAAAGTTACGATATATTTGTGCAAGAATCTCTATTACTATAAAGCGAAAGAAGCTGTATTTAATGATAAAAAAATGTCTATTACGTAATTGATTGAGCAAATACTAGCTTTCGGCGCTTTTTTGCTAAAAGTCTAGTCTCCGATAATTCCACTTTCAAGGGGGAACAAAGCTTAATCTCACTATTTTAAGTGAGGTCTAAGTCAGATCCAAGTAGAACTTAGAACTCAAAGTGGCTCGAGCAATTAGTATAAGATTCAGCCACAATCCAAACTTGATCCGATTGAAATCTCGTCAAGAATTTCAATAAACAACTTCACCAAATTAAATGTAAGGTTAGTTTTTGCAATGAGATCACTTATTTTAAAAGATAGGAACATGTGCAGATGACAAATCAACAAACTTTATTCAGATCGCAAGTATTTATTTCTATACACAGGTATAAAACAATAGACAATTTATTCACAGAAACAATTAACAAATCCTGATTCCAACTGCCAGAAGCTAACTCCCTCAACATTTCAACTTCTAATTCTAAATGTTCTCACATTGCTGCATATTTAACTGATATAGAATGATATAAAGCACATAATCCATTACACTAGCTCAAAGATCTCCATCACCTCAAACAGCAACAAGGAGATGAAGAAATGGGGGGAAAAAACGTTGACGATGCGAAGAAAAATTAGTTTTAAAAGGAATAGGCACCGAGAAATTCCTGTATCTGATCCTTAAAAGTATTTGCCAGGCTTTGGGGACTTTTCTGATCTTTTGGAGTAAGAAAGCCAAGTTCGAAAAAAATCAGCTAATCTGAACTCTCTGTTCGCTGCTGCCATATTTTCTTTATCTTCTTTCTTACATGCATCAATTAGACCACACTGCTCGCCTTGACTGCTACTCGGACTGACATCCTCCACCTTATTGTTGTGATTATCTCCTCTAATTTCTGTACCCTCTTCTGGCCCCGTTAATCGCCTTCACAATAAAAGTGCAAAAATTTCAGGGTTTTCTAGAAAGTATAACTGGTAAGATCTTTAACCAAAAATGATAGTTGTAATATTAAGAAATAAGAGGAGCACAGATGTGGAGGTCTTACAACAGCTTCTTGGTTGAACTAGTAACTTGAAGATGCCTAACAAAACGAAGCTGCACAAAGGAGAAGGAAATCAAAAACTAAAATCACATTGTGATCGTCAAAAATGTACAGAGATTTCATGAATGTAAGCTATGATCGGGGTTCAAGGCTTCGATAAGCAGTAAATGGATAGCCATTAAGAGCATGTTTGACAACTTTGGATTATAATCCACTAATGGCTTATTGGTCAAGTGGATATAATCCAAAATGTTTGGTATATTTAGTGGATTATAATCCATTTTTAACAGTAAAGTATTGGGCAATAAGTAAACTTATAATCCATCTTTGTTGTCAAAATGACCAAAAAGGGATTGAAGATAGAGAAAGAGGGATTTGGAATTTTCTTCAATGCCAAAGGGTAAAGTGGACTTTTTCTTGGTCAAACTATATGGCTTATAAGTTATAAGCCTCCAAAAAATAAGCTAGGCTACCCTAGCTTATCACTTTTTTTTGGCTTATAAGCCAAAATAAGTTGTTTGCCAGACATGTCTCAGTGACTTATAAGCCACTTGAACCAGTTGCCAAACATGCTCTAAGATGGAAGAAAATTTGAAACTTAGAAGAAGAGGAAATATAATAATAATATTTTAGGAATAAATACTAAATTTGATTTCTGCATGTGCACTTGGTGGTTGTGCACTTGGTGCATGTTCAACTAATATAAATAAATGATGGGTTTCATCGATATATAAAAGAACCTAAGATAATAATAATCTATATAAAAGTAGCTTTTGATGAAGGGGGAATACTATATTTCATCTTATACATTCTTAAGGTAAACATAATTTACACATTGGAAGTATTAGGTAGGTATTGACAAAGGGGTTATGTCCTGGAGCATTTCTGCACCAATTTGGTTGGAGCAAGTGTCCTAGATATCATAGCTATTGCTTTCTCACTTTCAACCTTTAATACATGATGAAAAAAACATCAACGGCCTAAGAGCAAGATTTTCCAACCCCTTCTATCTATATAAAATTCTAATCAAGAATGGTTCTGTTGATCTCAGAAAAAGTCCTTGCAACTATTTTCTAATTAAAACCAATCATGTGCCCATGCCACCTTATGATCACAGTAGCCTTGTTCGGATTCAAGTTCAGGGGCACCCCAGGACACATAATCCATCTCTACAATGAGGACAATAAAATCAATGTATCAGTCATAACTTCATATTTCAATCACGAATTAATTTTATTATACAAGACTATTATCAAATAACTCTATAACTCTACACTGAAGGGTGTACAGAGAAATTGAACAAAATTTAGTATCAAATCTCCAAAACATATTGTGTGCATGCCAACTTCCTTTCAGATGGAAGATATTGGGCAACAACATGCCTATCTTTCTCGGGGTGCATTAAAATGAATATCCATGACAGAGGTCTTATGCTAAAAGGGGGTTACTGCAAGGATTCTACATGTCCCATAAATTTCTTATAAATAAAGTACAATGTGTTTAATGTACTCATGTGAGAAGAAGTTAATAGGTATAGACAAATTTGATCCAAGAAGGGAAGCCCCAAAATAGTCTCAGGAATTTTTTCAAAATCATACATCCAGTTATCTCTCTGCTCGGGGTGAGACTGATCCTGCAATTTTTTATATCCCTTCAACTGAACTTGTGAATTCACCTAACTATTAACTTTCTGAGACTTGCATTCCTCAGTAATTCAAGACAATTACCAGTAACATTGTCTCCAAAAACGTGCCCATATCATGTACATAAAATATCTGTTAAGCAAATAAATTCAAATACTCTGCAATTATAGTGCTCTGGGGAGCTGAAGTTGGCATTACAATTTTCCATTGGATTCATGTCCTCAGGATTGCAGACGTTCCCAACCTCTTTCAATCAACCCATTCCATTTTGTGGGTTCGTTACTGGACTATTCTTCAGATATAGTTACTTGAAAAAAATATCTAGTAGTATTTGAAATTGTCTGAACCCTCATAATTATTTCCTTTTCAATCTTTGATGTTCGTTGCTTTGTTAATTATTGTGATTCAATCGAATGTAAACGAACACCATATATCCCATAAATGTCATTGTTTGCTATATTTGCATGCAAAAAGAATCACAAGAATTGTGATATACATGTTGGCCATCGTCTAACAGAAGGACAGATAAAGAAATCAAATTAATTCATGAAAAATAAAAGGGCAGATGAATGAATCTAAACTAAGGCAGACGAATGAATCTAAACTAACTCATAAGAAACAATGAATCATGATGGAAATTTAAAACAAAGCGCTATTGAAATTTTTGAATCGTTATCAAACATATCTCATCATAGCTCTAAGAGCATGTCTAATGCATAGAAAGGTAAATTTATAACATTAACAACAGACGTTCACACATACCTGATCGCAATCCTTAATCCCATAGTCCTTTAAACACGCTTTATCATCCACTAATTTATAATCATCATAGCTCAAGCAAAAATGGCCCCAAACATGAGTCCTACCGCAAAAACCAATAAACCCAAAATCAAACAAATTACCCCCCAAAAAAGCCATTTTCTCCTAAAATCAAGAAGCTCACCACGAAATTTTCCCTCCATCCTCCTCCGTATGATCCCTAAAAACATCCTCCACTGCCATCTTCAGCTCTGCCACCGTCGCCGTGACAGCAATCTTAACCTCTGCCAGATCGAATCAAACACAATTACCAAACAATCATAAACAATCAGGTTAATTTGCACTTCGATACCCCAAAAGTTTCCCTCTTTCTGAACTTTGACACCCTAATTTTCTATTTTGACAATTTAACACGCCAAGGTGCAAAATTTTGATATGAAACAAATTCTCTAACCAACTTCAGTAGGGCTCAAGGCTATCAAATCGTCAAACTTAACTGTCAAATTGGGAACTTTGGAGAACCAAATTGTCAAGCTAGAACTTGGGTGTCAAAGTTGAGCCAACAAATTAAACAAAAATCACAAAATTTTACCGAAGGAGGTGCCATCGAGCTTGAGGACAGAGAGCAAGAGCCGATGTTCGGGGAGCCGGTGGTACGAAAAGCTGCTCCGTCGAACGTGAAAGGCGCCAACGCCGACGCTCTGCGGGGTGGAGGGGCAAATCGTCAGACGGGAGAGATCGTCGGGAGCTGGCGCGGTGCCGATGACGATTGAGAAGAGATCCATCGCATCCTTTCGGATGTTGATGCAGTTGATGCAATTCGACTTCCCCACTTTGGATCTCCCCTTGTTCCTCCTCCTCCTCCTCCTCTTCTTCCTCCTCCTCGTTTCTGTAATGGCCTCCACTTCTTCGTCTTCTTGGTATGGTTTTTATATAGAAAGAGAGGGATTTGAGAGGAGATTCTTGAGGGAGGAGGTTAAGCAACGCAGCTGAGGGGATTAAAAGTTTTCATTTTGGGGATGTTTTGCTTCGAGATGAGGGATTGCTTTGGTTCTTTGACGTGAGATTGGGGAAAGGAGGAAGCTTGA